ACCGAAATCCATCAACTTGTAGCTGGAAATTTGGTAGTTTTTCAGCATCTTTTTCATCACATTACACGTTAGTTCTTAGGGAAATTTTTCATTTAGAACGTTTTAGGTGCATTTTCATGGATTCGTTAGCCAAGAGTTTCTCACTCAATTCAGCCACATTACACTTCATATGAACATCACGATTTACTTAAGTTTGTGCACGTAAGAATACGACCATAACATTACATTTTAGAGTCGTAAACACGAGAGCACATAGTTACGGTTCACTTTGCACACACGTACACATAGCTTCGGATCATATAGGTTGTCATTCATACGATTTCAAACACACATTCATGAACATATTCATCACGAAAATACAACACACAACTAATATTTACCAGCAAACATACCCAACCTACGAATCATTGGCAGCTAGTGACAGGGACATGCAACGGGGAACAACCCTAGTTTTCGGATTTGAATATACTGAACCTTAAGGGGTCTCTTGGGAAAGGGACCAAGAGAGAAGAGAACCCATACCGTTTCGACGTTCAAACCTTGACCTGATGCCTAAAGTTTCTCCTCCAAATTCACGTCCAACACCGAAAACCTCAACCCCAATTCGACGAACAACCCTCTCTTTGCCTAACGTGATTGATTAGTTGTTTGTTTTTATGTTTCATTGTGAGTTCTTCAAGTGTGAAGAAATTTGGTCAATTTTTCTATTCTTGAAGTTATTTTGGTAGAGAGAACATGAACGAGAGAAGAGAGAATGATCGTGAAGTGATATAGACGTGAGAAAGTGAAACATGAAAGTAGTTTAGGCTTAGGTAAGGACTTAGTCAAACTAGGACTCTCCTTAACTTTGTAAAAAATCTGATTTTCTTTTTTATTAAGTAAGCTAAAAAATATTAATTAATTAAGTTAATTTAACAATTTAAATAAAAACAATTTAAATCATTGCTTCCACCTAGGTTCGAACCCTGGTGGAGCAAGACTTCACTAAAAAACCCAATTTTTGTCCCTCTCTCCCCAAATTGCCCCTCAACCTTATTGATTAAATAATTTATTACATATTTAGGGTAATTACGATACTAACCTTATCCTGGAAAAAAACCATTTTACCCCTAGACCCTCCAAACTTAAGATTTCCCCTTTTTAAATCCGGTAAAGACTCATCCCGGTAAATCTTCATATTCGGGAGCCAAACATTTCCTAGATCAACTAACTCTCCAAGTTAGTTAGATTGTTTGTTGCAAGGGTTCAGAGGTCTTGTTCTACGCGCATCAATCCGTGTGAACCGGGTCTAATTGTAGGCATTCTAGACACATTAAGCATTACTTAGCATATCCATTTTTAGGTTTGTGACACCTTAATCCATAACTAACCCCTAAACCACTTAATTTATTAATTTAATTAACATAATAATGTGAAGCAATGGAAGACCCCTCACAGATGGAGCCCCGCCAATGGGTCGTCTGTGAGTCGACGGTTGCTTCCCCTTCGTCCAGCACTCCGCAGGTGAGTTCACAGACTAGGCAGGCGAGGGGCTTCCTCAACTTGGCTAAGTGTATGATAACGGTGGCATCAAATCCCCGTAATTCCACACATGGGTCGTTGACTGCCTAATCGATGCACACATGCAGTGTTGCCTCAACCTGCAGGGGTCCTGTTTAAGGGCCCTTGGTTGGTCATTGGGGAGTCGTACCCGGACGTTTTAACTATGAAACAACCTAAAACCTATTATATAACTTTCCACTAATTTTCATACATCTCAGACTCCTAAAAGCTAGTCAAATAGGATAAGGCACACTAGTACCTCTTTGAACCAACTTCTGGACATCATGGACGTTCTTGGACGATTTGGTTCTTAAACTTCCTAAATAAACTAAATTCATTAAAATGGACTTAAAACAGTAGTTAGAACTCATGACACCTATGTTAGGTTTTACAACACGTCTTGGTTATTCGAAGTGTTACACTACCTAACCTACACTCCACCACATCACCACATGAACAAAACATTTTGTTGCCTCATTCCTTTAAAATCATGAGCATGTTTGTTTTACCACTTTATGTTCAAGTAGCCAGCAACTAGTAAAGGCTATTTCACATGAGAGTGAACTTTCCTGTTATGCTGAGGCAATCTTGAATCCTTCTTGGCAAATGGCAATGACACAAGAATTTGAGGCACTATATACAAATGATACATAGGAACTAGTCCCCTTGCAAGTAGGTAAGAATGCCATTGGATGTAGGTTGGTGTATAAAATTAAGCACTAAGTTGATGGTAGTGTGGAGAGGTTCAAGGACAGATCGGTCGTAAAGGGATATACACAACAAGTTGGGATTGATTATACTGAAACATTCTCACCTGTAGTAAAAATGACCACTATGAGAAATTTGATTTGTCTGGCTGTAAAAAAAGGGGTTGGAGTTTATACTAGTTGGATGTGAATAATGGTTTGCTTCATGGTGATTTCAATTTAGGAAGTATGCATGACAATGCCAAAGGGCCTTATGGTGGACAAAAACAACAACTTAGTTTGCAGACTCAAAAAGTCTCTATATGGACTAAAACAAGCCAGTAGATAGTGGTATGAAAAACTGGCAATAGTCTATGTCCAAAGGTTATACACATTCAAATAGTGACTACTCACTTTTCTATAAGAGAAAGGGATGGTCATTAGTTTTTGTTTCTATATATGTGGATGATGTGATCTTGAGAAGTACAGACTTGGAGGAGATCTATTCATTGGAGAATTTCTTGCATAATCAATTCAAAATAAAGGATCATAGCCAGTTACACTATCTCCGAGGATAGCAAATACTATATAGGGATGATGGTGTTCTTCTTTCCCAGAGAAAGTTTAATACTGATCTTCTGAAAGAGTTTGATATTTTGAACTACAGAGTTGCAACATCAGCACTTGATTCTACTTATAAACTTAAGGCCACTGATGGAGAGATGTTATCAGATCCCCCTCATTATAGCAAGCTAGTTGGGAAACTTAATTTCCTCACACATACAAGAATGGATATAGCATTAGTGTTCAACATCTTAGCCAATTAATGCAATCTCCTAGAGAACCACACATGAAGACTACTTACCATGTTCTTAGATATCTTATGCTAGATCCTACTTTAGGAATTTTCATCTCTAACAAGTCTGATCCTACTATTACTGCTTATTGTGATTCATATTGAGCAGCTTATTCTAATTCAAGAAGGTTAGTTAGTGGGTATTTGGTTCTTATGGGATACAGTCTTGTTAGTTGGAAGTCCAAGAAGCAAGCTACACTATCACTATCATCTGCAAAAGTTAAATACGGGGCTGTAAGACAAGTAGTAGGAGAACTAGTGTGTCTTGAGAGATTACTTGATAAACTGATGGTGCAAAATTCATTACCCATACGTGTGTTTTGTGATATACAAGTTGCAGTTCGTATTGCTAAAAATTTAATTTTTCATGAGAGAACAAAACACATTGAGATGGATTGTCATTTTGTGAGGGATAAGCTTCAACAAGGACTTATTTTACTTCATCATATTTTCACAAACTCAAAGTTGGTACCAAGTCCCTAACTGGTATCAAGCACTCTACGATTCTAAGCAAGTTGTCTTGTAATCACACTACCTCCAACTTGAGAGGGGATAGAATTAGTTCGAGTTAGTTACTACAAGTTACTTAGGAATTTGTTAAACATTGTTAAATAGCACTACAACAAAAATGACCATTAGTGATATTTAATTCTAAATTGCCGCTAAATATGTAATTTTAGTGGCAATTGTCACTCTTTGTATATGTCCCCTAAAGCCTTTAGCGATATTTGGTTATAATGACACTTAACTAATGCCATTAAAGACTTAAGCACTCTTTATTAATGTTAATATTTAATGCCGCTAAAAGTTATTTTTGTTGTACTGTAGTTTGTTACAATTAGTTGGTTAGCTAGTTATTCCCATGTTTTATTCATTTATATATATATATATATATATATATATATATATATATACACACACAACTATTGTATTTATTTTCTCATTCATTGAGAAAGCAATAATACAGATCCTCTCTTCATTCTAGAATGCTCCATTGTATTCTCTATATTCCTTCCTCTTTTCTCTGTGAGTTTAATCTCCACTAATGGAGGAAGCTCACTAATTTGATGTTTAAATTTGGAATTCTTTCAAATGTAAATAATAACAACAAAATTATGAATCAAAGCAGATTTTTGAAATTTTGACTTATCTTAATTTTTTGGAATAAATTTTTTAATTGGGGTGATTTTTTTAATTCAACAAATAATTTTAAAATTTGAGTTTTATTTTTTAAAAAAAATTAATAACGTGACCGAAATTTGAGATGATTTCTTGAAGAATTGAAAATGTTTGAAAATTTGGGAGTTGTTAATATTTCATGTGGTTTAGTAATTGAGGAAGGAGAAGCAAAAAGAGCATTTGATCCAAAACTCTAATTGAAGTGTTAAAAGTTGTTTGGGGCATAAAAATAATTTTAGAAAATTGAAGTTAAAAATAATGGCATGAATGATTCTTTTCTAAAATGGCAATTATATAAATTATTCAAATTTTTAACGAATGACATATTTTGAATTTCTTCCAAAGGTTGAGTGACATAATTAAGTTTTCTTCCTTTAAACATTCTCAGAATCAGCTCAAGTTGTTCAGACATCCCTACGCACCACTTTTTAAGAGGACAAAACAGAAACGTCGATTGATTGTCACCCCTAGCATTTCTAAATCGACTTGAATGTTCATTGTTTCCACCGTCAATAGTAGCAATGTTGTTAGAAAGAGAAGTTGACAGTCAAATCCCTACGTTATCGTCGAACAATTCTAATTTTGTACGCCACGGAGATAATGGACATATTATATTTAATTGAATCTACGCCACAGAAAAAAACAGTTGTGTTTTCCCTATCCTAAGTGCCCCATTAACGTTAGGCAGACTCCAATTGTCATTCCAGTAGTACAATTGAACATCAATTTCAGCAAAATACCAAAACAAACATCTCCACTTATTCATCTGATGATGATGCACTGCCTGGCACTTTAAGCACCCATTCTCAACAGCATTGAACAAGAGTACAAGACACAGGGCGCAGAGGGTGGACAAAAGAGCCTTACACCATGATCCTTTTTCAGCTTTTATCCAATGACGCAAGACAACACATTTAAGAAACAAGGAATGCAAAGGTTTAAAATGTGTACTGAAAAAAGTAATATTGTTAGGATAACATGACCAGACGGTGGGCAGAACAATAATTACAATGGGCAGACAGCCAGAGACAAAAACCAAACCTATGACCGATTCAATAAGTAAGCCAACCACCATGTAAACAAATCTGAGTTTGTCTTCATAGGGTGACACAGAATACAACTATTGTCTTTTATTTCCTTATTCCCATCAAGCTGGGAGCAGCAGCAGCAGCACCTTGTAGATCAGATAAGGAGAAAGACCTCCATGCATTCAATTTTCGGTCAGGAGGAGATAATGACGACTCATTCCTATACCTTCGTGTCTGCGGAGGAAGAGGAGGACGAGTGAGACAAGGCGATGATGGGCTTGAGTTCAAAGACTCGGAACTGTCAGAGCAGCTCACACTTGCAGCTAGAGCTGATGAACTTCTAGAGTTGATCGGTCTCTTGTAAATCCCACGATTACCCATACCTGGGAGATAACTACGATTTTTGCCAAAGAAATTGTTGTGCGCAAGCAGATTCTTGCGTTTCCTGGTGTATGCATCCTCTGGCTTGACAATTTCTTTCACAGAGGAAATTGAAGCCGCATCTGCTAGACTGGTAAAAGATTTAGATTTACCAGCATAAAACTTTGATATGCTCCTCCTGTAACAGGGATGACGAGCCGAATAAGTGGTTGATGATAGGACAAATGGTTTGCTCTTTATGAACAACAAAATTCATTAACATTTAAACTCCAGACTTAGTAGAGAACATTGAAATAGTACTTAAAAACAAATAAAGTTCCAAGGCTAAGATTTCAGATAAACCCAGAAAACATGTGAATGTTTGCAACAACAAGAATAGTAATAGTAGTTGAAACCAACAATCAATTCTCCAGTTAAATCAAATACACAACAATATATACTAGGTGATGTTACAAGCTTCTAAGAGCAACTCAGGAGAATATCAGCCTCCTTTAGTTAGCAGTAAAAAAGACGGTGGAGTCTGATATCATCCATATGCACACCGCATTTTAGCCATACTCCAAGGAAAAAAACCAAACCAACAAAAAAGCATTTCACATGAGCGTTGAACAGGAAATAACCCAGAATAATCAAATACATTCTCAAAGACATTACATTACACACATGCTTTCATATCTCATGATTTCCTGGATGTCAGTGTATGGAAGATCTTTCACACACAGATGAGTGTATAAGGTCGACTAGTTTAGCTCTTAACATCCATTGTGCAAAGACTTAATCATCCCCAAAACCACATCCCGAAATGTCAACACCAGAGTTGTTCACACTTCCATCAAGCTTACCATAACAAATAACCATCCTAAATGATATGAAGTTAATGAAATATACTTGTAACCAAAAATCCGAACTAAGTTTTAAACTCTGAAATTTTCTATGGAAAAGAATAAGGTTTGACCTCTATTAAACGAGTCAGTCAGTCCACTATGATTAAAACCCACAAAATGAAGGAACTTGCAACATACATAACCAAGAGAGACTGTACAAGCCATATCAACAGTTGATCCTTAATTCCTAATACAGAAACCATCTAACTGATGCATTCCAACAGACCTACTGCAAAATACACCCAGTTTTTCGTCACCTTTTAACATTTTTGGCTAATTTTCCTCAAAGTTTCAGCAACATATCAAACTACAAACTAAAGCAACCTTCATAGTCATTAAGAGACAGCAGATCCCCAAATTAACTGCAGAAAAACAACCAAACATTTGCAGATCTGTGTATAGTTAAATTGAATTATAACCTATACTATGTCTTCGAATTCCAAGTTTAGAAAAAAAAAATTAGAAATATTTTCACCTAACAAATAAAAGGGAAAAATCGACATACTTGATAGGTAAAACCTCCTCTAAGGTCCCCAAATTGTCCAAACCTCCAGGTTTAAATGAACTCTGTACTTCTTCGCCATCCCCGTCCGATGATGATCTACCGGCCGGCGAGTCATCACTATTTCTTCCGATCGATGAAGAAGAGGAAGAAGATGAGAAAGAAGAACTTCGATCGTCCCGAGGATCTCCGATGCCGAATTCCGGCGAGTTATAGATCGGCATAGAGGTCATTTCGTGGGCGGTGAATCCAGAAGGTTTGATCCGATGATCACTTGAATTATTTCTTCCCAACACAATCGACATATCTAAAAGGCAAGTTATAGAGAGAAAAAACTGATACTGCTATTTGAGTGTTTATTTAGATAGAGAAAGGGGGACGAAAAATGGAATATAAAGAGAGCCTTATCTTTATCCAGACTGAGAGAGAGAAAAATAGAATACTACAAGTTGGATAATTAATAAGATTATCTTTTAAAGTAGAAACTGAGGGTTTCTAGCCTGCATCAAGCTGTAACAATAACCGAATACTACTAGTTTCAACCTCCCATCTCCACCGTTTATTCAAAATATCATATCTTGACGTCTTTTCTGAGAAAAATATTGTATAATATACTTTAACAATTAATTAACTTATAAGTTTGCATTCGGATAATACTTTAACAGTTAATTAACTTATAAGTTTGCATTCGTTTTGATAGTATTTATATTTTAATTATATATTTGATACTCCTTATTTTATGTTAACAAAATTTATGATAAAAGAATATTTAAAGACATAATTTAAATCATATTTTATATTACTGTCCTATATAAATTATAAATATTACTTTGTATGTCGTGTACTTTATATCTTAAAAAGAGAAAATGTACAATTGTATCTAGACTATGATCAAAATTTCAGATATACGTTAACTAAACTAAGGTTTTGTTATCCCTAAACTTATTTTTTGAAATTTTGTGCACCTTTGTCTTACATAACATCCAAAAATATTTCACGCGCCTCAATTTCGTGAAGTCATGGAGTGTATCACGTAAAATAAATGGTGCACAAAATTGTAAAAAAAAATCATCGTAATAAGATCTTAGTTTAATTAAGGTGTGTCTCTGAAATTACGATTATAGTCTAGCAAGATACTTGTATATTCTAAAAAAATATTAAACTTTATTTAAGTAAAGGTCAAATATGAAGAAAAAATTCAAACGAACATATTAAATTTTGAACAATAAAAAATCCTCCAGTACTTTGTTAATACATACGAAATAGAGAGTTATATTTATTAATTATATATTTTATTTAATATTATTCGTATGCATATCAAATAATATCAATAATAATTCTTATACGGTATTATTTATATTCTAATCGCATGTACGATGCACAATTATTTAACAAAATTCAAACGGTTAAAAAAATAATGTTAACGTAATTAATTTAACCATTTATACTATGCATTATTGAATATAACCGATCAAGCAATGCAAAGCATAATAAGATTAACAAAATAAACAGTGAAATTAGCTAAAGGGAAAACGATATTTTAAAAGCAAAATAAAAGAGCAATTTTAGACAACTTAAACATATTTGTGATATTAATTTGATTTGGTCCGAAATGTGTGAATGAGAAGTTAAAGTCGACCCAAACCAATTGGAAATTGCAAGGAAGTGAAAACAATACAACGTTAGCATCAATTTTAGGATACTGGTCAAACACTACTTAGTCAAAGTAATTTAAGATTACGGCTTCGTCATAATGTTATTAGGGGTGGTTTGATAAAGAGTGCTAATACAGGAATTAGTAATGCAACAATTAACAATACAAGAATAAGTAATATATAAATTAGTAATGCATGAACTATTTTTTATAAAATGTTTGATATATTATTTTCAATCTAAATTTGTGTGTGGTTTGAGATTTTACGAGAGACTTATTTTCAATTATATTTTTAAATTATTATGTAATTTTTTTTATTTTATGTACAACATTATGACATATTTTCATGTTCATTCCTTTGTTAATCTGTAATAAATAATGCTGCATAATTTAAATAAACAACATTTACTTTAAAATTTAAACATGACAGGTAGTCATCACATTATAAACTTGACAAATAACACAAGCTACGGAAATTCACCCCTTTATGATATTTCCTACTTCATGCAGACAACTAAGACATGCTAAATAATACTTTTACCGTTTCACAAAAAATAATTTGATTTAATTTGGTACGGAGTTTAAAAGTATAAAGAAGATTTTTGTATTTTATGGTCCTAAATTAAAGTCAGGTTAAATGTATAAAACTGTCCTTTGTTTTTGTGGTCTTAAACATGTGACGTAGAAAATAGAAATTAAAATATTACCAAAAAAAAGTAGATCATTCTTTTTTAAACACATTAAAAAGAAAAAAATATATATTCTTTTTGAAATGACGGGAGTAACATACATCTGCTTCCTCTTGTTGAAGTCCAAAAGATTAGAATTTTGTATTCCTTGAAGTAAATGAAAATATGAAATGCAAATCTTGGAAGTAAATTTTGGAGGCTTAAAATTGGATCTTACTTGTCGATTGGGTTTTGAAAATACCCTTTCTTGCAATAATACTTGATTGAGTTCTTTTTAAAAAGTCAACCGAATTCTCTTGGTGTAACAATAAATGATACTTTGTTTGGAGAATCTGATTCAATCAACATATTGTGTTTCTTTACCAATTCGGAAGAGAACTGTATAAAGACATTGAGGGGCAGTTCAGTCATTTTATTATCTTATTCAAGGCTTATTAAACATGTTATTTGTAATCTACATATGGTGCAATATTAAGTTATCCAAGTATTAGGTGGGTTTGAATTAAAATGTGCTATTAAATATTGTATTGAATGGATTAGATTTTAATCCAAGGATTATTTTAATTAATACATCCCTCCAAACAATTTCTTAGAGTATTAAGGGTTATTTAGGATTTTAATCTAAAAAAATTTCATTTAAATGGACACTCATACCAATTTTGGGGTGGAAGCGATTATTGTAAGAGAGAGAGTTGGAAGAAGTTGGATTATTTATTTATGAGGGAAAGCCCTCTATTTATACACAAAAATTACACGTTTTTGGCCAAAATGGCTGACACTCCTACTTTACACCTGGCCTTTTTATATTCGGCCGACACAAAAAAACAAAATACTTACTATTACTACTTTACATAATGGCCTCTTCTTTATTTCTGGCCGACACACACACTATTTACTTTATGACTAACACAAGAAAACAAAATACTTTTTACATGATTGGCCTTTTATGGCCGACATACTAACTATCTACTTTACGATTTTTACAGTAAATCTTATCTTCGATATCTTGCTTCTTCCATCTTTACTCTAATTGTACATCTGGTACGTAATTATCTTCTCCTTCACATTTTGAACATAGATGATCAGGATATTTTTGCCCTATCAACTTGCAGTATCTTGTCATCAGATTAGGAGAAATAAAATATTTCCTTATAGCTCTTGTTGTTGGTGTAGCTTCTGGCCTTAATAGACTTAGTATCCATTGTCTTAGTTCTTCCATGTCTGCTGATCGTATATCTTTGCAATTTGAATAGATTATTGTTTGATCTCGGTTGTAGTATGTCCATATGGCATTTTCATTTAGATAATTGTTTGTTATCTCGTTCAATATAGTAGCTATTCCGATAGTTCTTTTATTTGCATAGAATTCTGGAATATCTACTATTTGTATTTCTTCCTGGGTGTCTATCTTTTCAGGGATTATCATTTCCCTAGTCAGCCCGATTTTTATAACTTGTATTGTAGGTTTGACTTCGTCATACAATATCTTTGCTGTAGCTGCGTTGAACTTTATATAAAAAAGAGTACCTTTGGTTACCCTTTTATACTGTAAAAAAGCTTTACATAGTTCTGGTATCTTGGATATCTCGTCTCATGTTATCGTATATACGGTACTTAACAGTCCATAGTTGTAGCAAGTTGCTACTAGGTTTGGATTAGTTCCTGGTTGTGCAATTAATTTATTATATCCTTGTAAATGCTGGGTTATGTAGTCTTCGTCGGATTTTTTCGTATTTTTAGCCTTAGGGTTCTGGTTGAGAAAAGTCTGTACTTTGTATATATTTTCTATATATGTTCTGGAGATATAATTGTATGTTTGTTTTTGGGAATCTAAGCTGGCTTTGTAGGTATTTGTTTGTGGGGTGACAGACATATCTTTTTGGGTACTTTGAGGAGTATATGGTTTTGAGAATAACTTATTCATGTTTGTATTTGTGTATTTTAGCTTAGTCTCCTCCTTTTTCGTAGGTTGTCCTGCTGTAAATGTGCAGGCTGTAGCTGCATTTGAACAAACGTTGTTATGGGTTTTTTGGAGTTTTTCAACGTCTCCTTGTAGTTCCGCATGTTTATAGTCATGCTGCTGACTTAGCTCCACATATTTTGAGTCATGCTGCTGACTATTAGCTTTTTCTTTCAGACTTTGTACTTCCGTTTCTATCTTTTCCATCTTTTGGCATAGATTTGTCATCATGGCCAATATATCTTTTAGTGTATCTTTCTCTTGAGAGATAGTCTGCAATGAGATTCTCGTCAGTTTTAATTATCTCAATTGTAAATGTAAAATTCAATATATTTAATACTAATCTTCTTATTTCTTTTGTTGTAACTGAATCATCTACCTTTTTAGTTATCCACCATTTTACCTGTGTGTTATCTTTTCTTACGATAAATTTATTGTAAACAATATATGGTTCGAATGCTAATAAACATCTATATAATGCAAATAATTCCTTTCTATTTATCTCCCATTTCGTTTGTGCTTCAGTATATGTTCCTGAGTAATACCTGCAATGATGTTCTATCTTTTCTTTGTTATATTTATATTTTAGTACTCTTCCGTAAATGTGATCACTTGAATCTGTTTCAACTATATATGTAAATGCTTTACTTTCATCAGGAAAGTATAGTTTTGGTAATTTTTTACATAATTTTTTAATATTTTTTATATGTTCTTTATCTTTTTGGTCAAAATAGTATTCAACGTCCTTTTTAAGTTTTTTATGTAGTGGTTTTAAATGTTCTGCTAATTTTGGTATATATTCTCTTACTTGGTATACTAATCCTAAAAATGATTGTAATTTCTTTTTTGTATCTATATTTTCGTTAAGGGTAATTATTTTTTGTATTATAGGAGTTTGCATTTTTATTCCATTTTTGTCTATTTTGTATTCCTAGAAATTCTACATGTGGTTTCATTATTTCTGCTTTACTTTTACTTAAGCTTATACCTGAATGTTTAATTATATGTATAAATTTTTCTAATAATCTTATATGTTCTTCTTGTGTTTTAGAATATAATAATATGTCATCTATGTATACAATGCAATTTTTTAATTGGTTAAAGCAGTTATCCATGAAATGTTGAT